TATGTATGTATGTATGTATGTATGTATGTATGTATGTATGTATGTATGTATGTATGTATGTATGTATGTATGTATGTATGTCTGTATGTCTGTATGTCTGTATGTCTGTATGTCTGTATGTATGTATGTATGTATGTATGTATGTCTGTCTGTCTGTCTGTCTGTCTGTATGTATGTATGTATGTTTGCATGGATGGATGTATGTATGTATGCATGTATGCATGTATGCATGTATGCATGTATGCATGTATGCATGTATGTATGTATGTGTGTGTATGTGTGTATGTGTGTATGTGTGTATGTGTGTATGCGTGTATGTGTGTATGTGTATGTATGTATGTATGTATGTATGTATGTATGTATGTATGTATGTATGTATGTATGTATGTATGTATTTAGATAGATAGAGTCCCGCCCCTGGGCGCATCTAAGTCGCAGCTGGGGGGGCCTATATTGTATCGCTGTTGGTTTATATCGTCATCGTCTCCTGTGGTTCTTATATATATATATATACACGTATCTATACGTATATATACGTATGTATTTTCATCATATCATTTGATTGCTGGTGTCTTTGCACGTAAGATGAATTCCACAACAAAGTTCGCAATGACAGTTCTGAGCAAGTGTGTGTGTGTTTGTTGTTTCTTGTCCCGCTGCGCATTCCGCAAGCATAATGTCAGATTTTCTTCTCTATTGTTCTTATCCCGCGGCTTGTTTCGCAAGCATAATGTCAAGTGTTCTTCTCTGTTTTTCTTGTCCCGTGGCGCGTTTCGCCAGCATTAATTTTCGTGCAAGCTTTGTAGTACAAAGCAGTAGTGGGAGGTACTTTCTGCAAGCTTTGTAGTACGAAGTAGTACTGCTCGCCCTCTCGCCCCCTCTCGCCCCCTGTGTGACGTACTTTCTGCAAGCTTTGTTGCGTCAAAGCGTCTGTGTATCAACTCTGTGTGCAACGGCGTCTGTGTGTAAAAGCGTCCGTCCGTGTAAAAGCATCTGTGTAAAAGGTGTCTGTGTGTAAAGCACGTCCGTGTACAAGCGTCTGTGTGTAGATTCGTCTGTGTGTACAGTAAAGGCGTCTCTGTGTAAATGCGTCTGTGTGTAAAAGCTCTTCCGTGTGTAAAAGCTCTGCTGTAAAAGCGTCCGTGCGTAAAAGCGTCTGTGTGTAAAAGCGTGTGTGTGTGTGTGAAAAGCTTCTGTGTGCAAAGCTTCTGTGTGTAAATGCGTCTGTGTGTGTAGAGGCGCCTGTGTGTGAAAGCGCTTCTGCGTAAGAGCGTCTGAAAAAGCGTCCGTGTGTAAAAGTGTCTGTGTTACATCTTCACATCCTACATCTTATCCATCTGTTCTTTCCTTCCCTCACTCTCTTTCTACCACCCTGTCTCCTTATACAGCCTCTCTCTTGCAATGTTTATTTCTGGCTTTTGTTCTGTCTCAGTACAAATGCTTCAATGCGTCTCTGCAGCTTTTATCTTGACATTTTGACATCATGCCTCTTTCATCTTTCTAATGATCAACCGCTACATTTTCCATCGTTATCATTGACTTTTCTTCTACATATAAAGTGCTTCCTACATGCTTATTACATCTTATCACATTGTGTTTATACTTGCACCTGAATAACTTGCTCCTCTACGCTCTCGGGCCATCCGGCGTCCAGTTGGTTTTCTTTTTGTACTTCCAGATTCCAAAGATACTTCCAGATATCATGCTGCTCATTCAGTGCGTGGTAACAATGTGTGGTAGGTAGGTTCCCTCCCTGATGTGACCTCCTCATACTTGGATAAGGCATGATAAGGCATTGATTACTTCCGCTACTCGCGGGCGATGGTAATTTGTTGTTGTGTCTTGCTTGATTTCCCAGCGTTGGTTCATTCACATTGTGGTCATTCTGACACTTTGCTGGTGAACTCCCTGTTTCCTGGTCGTCAAGACCTTCCTTGTCTTTCTCCGTCTTGCAAGTCTGCACCACAACTCCTTCTTTCATGTCTTTCTGGTCCCTGAGTGGCTGGCTGTACAAGAGGACATTGTGGACATGACCTACAGTTGGAATGTCGGATCTATACTATATGAAAAACTTGGATGGCACCAGCATAGTCACAGTGATGTACAACTAGAAATGAATATGCGATCAATTTTCGTTTCTCACGTGCCAAAAAGTTGGTGGTAATTTAATGTCAACCCCGGGGTAAGAAACCGTGGTTGACTTCTGCAATTAGGGTGGTTCCCCCAAACCGTGATAATCGATAGTAAAATGATACCACCCCCCAATTATACCTATGTATGTGTATGTATGTATATATATATACACATATATGTATATATGTATATATATATATATGTATATATATACGTAGATATTATACATATTAACAGCCCAGCGGGATATTATATAATCCAGTGGTAACATTAAGCAAAGCATTGGGCCTTCAGGCAGGTGAAAATATTCAGCGGATCATCAAGAGCCAAGCAATTGCTGGATCCACAAAGGATCTCTTGGCCCAGTGTCCCGGTGTGTTCATCACAAGCTACATGTGAGTTGTGCCTTGAACATCACAGAATCCTTTTCCGCCACAAGAAAAAGGGAATGATAGTTGTTAACGATAATAATCACAAATTAGAGACAAAGAAAACATGTTCCCCGCAACCCCCTGGTTCGCCCACACTCAAACAACACATCCAAAAAATATTATATACTTGTCACCAGAGGATAAATGAAAACACTGGCTATACGCAGTGATTTTGACTTTAAGTTTTCAGGATTTAGGGTTTTAATTTAGGGTTTGGGGTTTTACGTTTTAGGTTTTAGGGTTTTGGTGTTTGTGATTTTGGAAAGTAAAAACTTGAACCCTACGCAGGGATTTGAGCATGTCAAAAGATATGCAGGATTGGCTGCGGGCAAACCTAGGGGTTGCAGCGAACATGTTTTTATACTATATATATATACCTCCAGCCAACACCACGAAAGCAAGTCGCTGTTCAGTCTGCTCATGCTTGTTTTGAAGGTACGAGGTGCCATCGGCCTCGTCCAAGTTCAAGTTCTGTGGGACCCAATGGGATCATCAGTTTTGCTTCGCTGAGAACTCAATGCAAAGCAAGAAACATAGCAAACGGAATAACATAACATGGCTGGAGAAAATCCTGCAGCAGTTTGAGGTTTATCATGGCTACCCCACTATTTACAGGTTGTCATAATTGCCAGTTGGTGGAGGATTTTGTCCATCCATATGTCTTTCCACATCTTCGATACTGTCTTCTCTGTGTAATGGACCCACAGTTTTTTTGGAGCTAAGTTGTCCCTTTTTAGGAGGGTTGATCAGTTTAACTGGCACTCAATTGGTATCTTCAAGGATCTTTGTGCATGGTAATTTGATGATCATTAGTTAGATGTTGCCAATCCCATCGTTTAAGTGAGCATCCAGCCTCTACTTTTGAAGCGAAACTTCCTGTGACGACCACGATGGCGATCAGTAGCGGAAAGCGGAACATGGCAGACCGTGACGGAGGTGTCGCGCGGCTTTGAGTTGGTGGGATCACTCAACGGCGTCGCAGAACGTTCACCAAAATGTTTGGGTGATATGCAGATGTCTCCAGCGAAACCTGGCCAAATCTGGTCTTCATGATCAGTCCTGCTGCTTGTGGGGCCCAGGAACACGCATGCGAACAACCAGCGCAAGAGATCCAAAATAGAATTCGTTTAGAGTCAGAAAATCAAATTCATTGCCAGTTATGTGCCTCTGCTGGGTCTGCGGCTCCAACCCCTTGCAATCGGCTCTCCCCTCACTGCATAGGGGTTCTTGGCAGGTCCTGCGGCCATGGTTGTAGACATCCAGTGGAGCGTATATTGGATAGTACCCAGGTTGCAACCCCTTAGAACTTGGAAGTTTTAGGATATTAGCTACCGGCTACCGACCATGTACCAACCCGAGCTGGCATTAACACCCCCCAGTTTATCAATATAGGCTATAGGGAGGTTATCATTTACAGCATGACGAGTAACGTTACGCGCAAACCCCCCAGTTCGCCCACACAACTTCTGACAGATTTTGAAGGAATATAAATTCCGACCCCCGTTAAACTTTAAATTCAATTGGGAAGATCAACAAGGGTATTAGGAATATAAATTCCCATTTTACATTCAATTGGGAAGATCAACATGGGCATTAGGAATATAAATTCCCACCGCCGTTAAACTTTACATTCCTTGAAGATCTTCAATAAGGGTTTAATTCTTCCACCCCCGGTCAGCTTCTACATTCATTGAAGATCTTCAATAAGGGTTTAATTTTCCTACCGTTATACTTCTACATTCATTGAAGATCTTCGATAAGGGTTTAATTCTCCCACCCCCGTTCAGCTTCTACATTCATTGAAGATCTTCGATAAGGGTTTAATTCTCCCACCCACGTCAAGCTTCTACGTTCATTGAAGTTCTTCAATAAGGGTTTCATTCTCCCACCCCCGTTAGACTTCTACATTCATTGAAGATCTTCAATAAGGGTTTGATGATGATGATGATGATGATGATGTAACATTCAACACACAGGTAGCTAAGCTGTGCGTTGCAAGATGAAACCCATGATCATGGACATGTGCATTTTGTCCCACAAAACACAACGTTTTTTGATGTTCGGACATGTCGTCGGCGTCGGCGCGGGCAAACTGAGGGGTTTGCCCGTAACGTTACAGCATCGGATTTCCCGTGGTGGTTTATCGTTGGGGATGAAACCACGTATGACCGGGACCATTAAACCATCAGGGTGTTTACTGTAATTATGTATACATATATATATATATACACACTGGTGGAATGGATTACAGAGATATTTCAGATGCATATCACACAGGTTCTCACCTCTATTCATTGGTGATGTATGTTTAGAAAACTATAAAATTGATGAAATACATGATATCTCCTCAGTTTTGGCCACAAAAATCCAACCTTCAGGGGGTCATTCCAAAACGACCATCTCCAACCTACAACCCCACAAGCCAGAAATCCAGCGCCTCACAGCAAGGACAGATCAAGGCCTGCTGAATTCAGCCAGACAGCTAATTACGAATCAAACTGGAGATGTAAACCAGTAAAAAAGAGGTGTAATGTACATGATCAAAATAGGGGTCATCCTAAGCTGTTCTAAGACCTACCTGAAGAATATGGCCTGGACCCGCAATGATAGAACATCAACATGTAAATGACATTATCCACCGCAAATCCGAATTGTGGTATGCTACAGATTCTGGAAATTGGTCATCTAATTAAAGATCAGCCAGTCCCTGGGTCGCCGGGGTGAAAAATGTGAAATTGAATGGCAATTTTTAACGAAAAGATCCAGCTACTGAAGTCATCCCCCTGATCCCTTTGACCATTTCCAAATGTGTCGTAAACCCTTCCCCGAAATACTAAAGACTCCGCCTGGTCGATCTGTTTATTGTGTGGGTCCCCCTTTGGAAGGGGCTGTGAAAAAGAAGTGCGATCATATACTGATCTAGGTACGAGTCAAAACCCTGGCACCCTTCTGTTCACACCAAAATGGCTGGTAAATGGATGTTCATGCCCTCAAATTTGGTATGATAGGGGACCCATGCCCATGTATTTCCAGGAATGCAATCCCAGTTTTCAGGTCAGATCACAAAAAGCAGCGGCCTGTCTGCACTTGCTTTGCGAGGTCCGGACTCTTCTCAGGGCCTCATACGACCCCAAAATTTTGCAGTTGACTCAAAAAAAAGTGTTCTGGTGCCGGTTTTAGCTTCATATCAACCAGGAAATCCAAACACATCACAACTTTGCAAGCTCCAAAAACCTAGCCTTTCAGCCACGACTCCCACAACTCTCCAAGGCGCACGAAGCCGCCATCTCCATGGCACTGCGCCAGCGCGGCCAGAAATCCTTGGCATTGTTCATGAGAAGTCCACCATACTGTCCGTCCTCAGGCCACGGTGTGGATTCAGTCAACCAACCGGGGCACCAAAGAAGAAACGATGGGTTCTTTTGGAAGAAGTTCCGTTTCATCGTCAAGTGGGCCCCCATCTCTGCGATGTCGCCTATCTATGCCTATTTCAAGACCAGCCTCGATACCTTGCAAATGGGCCAAAAATGTGAGGTCTCATCAGCTCGGATAAAAAGGTTGCCCAATTAATTAGGAAACCGCTCTGCCTTTTTGCTGATGTGCAAAGGAGCTACTATGTCGTGCCAAAGTCAGATTCGTTAGACTTCTGGCTGAAAAAGACACCCAAAATGACAGCCCATGGGTTTGGGCAGGCTGGGAGGCTTGAGCATCAGCCAAGCCATGGTTGTTTTCCTCTTCTGGCTGAAAAAGACACCACTTCTCCCATGTTTTCCACGACTGCATTCCGAGGTTCGTATTCCGCCATGTAAGGATTCTTGTATCCCCAATACCACAGCGTGTAGCCGGCTTCTGTTAGAAGATGTCCGACTACCTTATGGCTGGCCCCGGATGATCTAGGTTTGTGGATGTTCTCTAGCTTGGCATCCAAGGTCCATCGAAGGAGCTTGGACTAGAGACTGATTTTTGGCAAAACAAGGTGGAACGTGATGCGTGTCCGATCACTAAGAATCTAGCTGGCCATTGCTTGTTTTGAAACATCTAAATGAAATAAACCAAAACCTTCACACAACTCCCCCAACATCCCCCCGGGGCAAATTTTGAACCCATCATGACAAACATGGATGCG